GAAGCCACATGGAGACTGGTAGGAGGGGCAGAAGTGCGACAAGCTGGCCATCCACATGTGGCAGATAAAAATTAGGAGGAGACCTCGGCTGGGAAGGTCCTCCCTGAGGACTGAGAGGTCCCCGTCCCATACCAGGTGCCCCACTCGGGGTTCCAGGGCCAGGAAGAGAAGTCCCCATAACTTCTGGCTAGAAAAACCAGCAGGAACTGAGGCTCAGGGAGGCTGAGGCAGCTGGAGCCCCAGGCAGCTCCTCTTAAAGGGCCCGCACACGGACTTATCGATCTCACTCCCTCTAAGCTTGGAGGGGAGTCAGCTCGAGGGGCACCAGAGACATACAAGAACTGAGCTGTTTGGCACTGGAGCGAGGGCTGGAAAGAGGGCTTTCTCCTGGATAGACGTGCTGTCAGAGGCCTTTGTTCCTTCAGTGAGTCCTTCCCTAGGGTGGCAGACAGCCGCCATATCTGGGACTCCAGCAACCTGGCTCACACTGTTTGCCCCGCCCTGGTGATTCCCTGAAGCCCTGCCCCACCCAACTTTCAGGCCCACCCAAGCTGTTGCTAGTTACTTAACCATAGAATTGGCCTTTCTTGGATCCTGCTTCAGGTTTTCCTAAATTCTTTCAAACAAGCAGCATCTGGTTTCAGCTAGCCCTATACCTCTCGTTAAGTAATACACAGAAACAAACACAGGAAGGCAGACAAAATGAGGAGACAAAGAAACAGGTCCCAGATGAATGAATAGAACAAAACCCCAGAAAAAGAACTAAGCAAAATGGAGATAAGCAACCTAACAGATGCTGAGTTCAAAATACTGCTTATAAGGATGCTCAATGAACTTAGTGAGAGCCTCAGTGAACTTAGTGAGGGCCTCAAGAGCATAAAAAAGGACCAGTCAGAAATGAAGGATGCACAGTCAGAAATAAAGGAGGCACTAACTGAAATAAAGAATAATTTACACAGTGCTCGCTTCGGCAGCACATATACTAAAATTGGAACAATACAGAGAAGATTAGCATGGCCCCTGCGCAAGGATGACACGCAAATTCGTAAAGCGTTCCATATTTTTAACTTAAATTTGTTTATTCCATAAAGGTCAAATCACTTTGGACAGCTAATCTTGAATAAAAACATGATCAAAGGCAGTGAGAAAAAAAAAAAAAAGAATAATTTACACAGATTCAATAGTAGAGTAGGTAAAGCCAAGAAGCAAACCATCAATTTGGAATATAAGGAAGCAAAAAACACCCAATCAGAACAGCAAAAAGAAAAAAGAATCCAAAAAAATGAGGATAGTGTAAGGAGCCTCTGGGACAACTTCAAGCGTGCCAACATTCGCATCGTGGGGGTGCCAAGAGAAGAGAGAGAACAAGAAATCGAAAACATGTTTGAAACAATAATGACAGAAAACTTCCCTAACTTGGTGAAGAAAACAGACATACAAGTCCAGAAAGCACAGACAGTCCCAAACAAGATGAACCCCAAGAGGCCCACACCAAGACACATCATCATCAAAATGCAAAAGGTTCAAGACAAAGAGAGAATCTTAAAAGCAGCAAGAGAAAAGCAGTTAGTTAATTACAAGGGAGTTCCCATAAGGCTGTCAGCTGATTTCTCAAAAGAAACTTTGCAGGCCAGAAGGGAGTGGCAAGAAATATTCAGAGTGATGAAAAGCAAGAACCTACAACCGAGATTACGCTATCCTGCAAAGCTGTCATTTAGAATCGATGACCATATAAAGAGTTTCCCAGACAAGGAAAAGCTAAAGGAGTTCATCACCACCAAACCATTATTATATGAAATGTTGAAGGGTCTTCTTGAAGAAAAAGATAAAAAATATTAACAAACAAAATGGCAATGAATACATATCTATAGACAATTAAATCTACAAACAAAATGAACAAGCAGAACAGAAACATTCTCATAGATATAGAGAACATTTTGTTGGTTGCCAGATGGGAGGGGGGTTGGGGAAATAGGTGAAAAGGTGAAGTCATTAAGAAGTACAAACTGAAGCCCTGGCTGGTTTGGCTCAGTGGTTAGAGCGTCCGCCCGTGGACTGGAGAGTCCTAGGTTCGGTTCCTCGGTTGCAGTTTGTCCCTGGCCCCGGTTGGGGTCCTGTGGGTGTCGACCAGTCAATGTGTCTCTCTCACATCAATGTTTCTCTCTCTCTCTTCTCTCCTCTCTCCCTCCCACTCTATCTGAAGATAAATGCAAAAATGTCCTCAGGTGAGGGGGGAAAAAAAGAATTATAGAATTTTAGAGGTAGAAATAACTTTAAATGTCTAATTTTCTAGATAAATCAAGGTTCAGAGAAGTCAACTGGTTTCTTCAGGGTCAATCAATAACTTAGTGGCAGAACTGGGGGAAAAAAAACTCAAGAAATTTTTACTCACAATTTAAGGTTTTTTCTGTAATGACTCCCCCAAATTAAATTACCTTTTGCTTTCATTCCATCTCAAATGACACACTACCAGGACCTTCACTGTTTGTTTGGCTTCTTGCTTATAGCTAAACATGGTAGTGTCTCTTTCTGGTGTTCCAGAATAAGCTTGCTTCAGGAAGGCAAAAAATATCTAAATAATATTTTTAAATAGCCAGGCCCCTTCCAACCTCTAACTATTCTGTTTTTACTGTTGTTTTCCATTTGAGCAGGTATTTTGTAGAAACTTGTTATTTAAGTACAAACTGCTTAATTTTAAAACCTTACAAGCTGACAGCCCCATGAAGTATGGCTGTATAGAATAATTGATTTTATCACCTTGTTCTGATTCATTATCTAAAAACTAGGAGAGATTTTATAACTATGGATTTTTTAAATATGTTTTTATTGATTTTTTAGAGAGAGCAGGGAGAGAGAAACATTGATCAGCTGCCTCTTACATGCCCCCTACTGGGGATCAAGCCTGCAATCCGGGCATATGCCCTGACCAGGATTCAAACCAGGACCTCTCAGTCCATGGGATGACTTTCAATTCACTGAGTTACACCAGCTGCGCTCATTACTATTTTTTTTTTTTTTTAAGAACAGAACTCTAACTTTCCAATGTCTTTCACTTACATATTTGCTTATATATTAGATCAACAAACATCTAAAACTTGCTTCAGGAAGGCAAGAACTTCACAGGGCATCAATACCATTCACTTTATACTTGATATGTCCACTCTGTAAAGGATTATGATCTTCTCAAGAAAGAGGCAAGATTTCTATGGTTTCTCAAATAAAGACTCACTCTGGACTTACTTTTTGTCCTACATCTAAACTGCCCTATATTCAATGATGGCGCAATTACTATTTTACCCTTTTATTTGTGAATCCAAGATTTAGAAAAAGATAAATCAGCTGTTGTTAAGTTTATTCAGGCCTAAGCCTTTTTTTTTTTTTTTGCTATCTTATTATGCTTGTCCAAAGACAGTAATAGTTGATTTCCTAATGCTCTCCACCCATCTTTCCCAATCTTCCACAACCATCTTTTAACAAGAAAATACCCTTTCAATTGAGAAAGAAGCATTTGAGTGAAAAATATCCAATAGCTGGATTCTAAAATGCAACGAGGTGACCTTCCTTACATGTGCATGATGTGAATGAAGTATGGTTTTACTCAAAGGAAGTGTATGTCAATCAACATAAATGGGCTCCACAATGGAAGAGGAGACATACTGTACAACTAATCCAATTCTTTCTTTTAAAGAAAAGGGTAGACAATTCAGTGAAGGAAGGATAGTCTTTATAACAACTGGTGCTGGCACAATAGGACATTCATGGAGGGGGTGACCAGAAAACCTCAACCTAGCCCTGGCCAGTTTGGCTCACTGGTTAGAGCGCTGGCCTGCAGACCAGAGAGTCCTGAGTTGGGTTCCCACTAAGGGCACATACCTCGGTTGTAGTTTGTCCCAGCCCCAGTTGGGGTTGTGCGGGTAGCAACCAGTCGATGTCTCTCTCTCACATCGATGTTTCTCTCTTCCCCCTTCTCTCCCTCCCACTCTATCTGAAGATAAATGTCCTCTGGTGAGGATTTAAAAAACAACAAAAAAACCTCAACCTAACTCTCACACCATATACAAATGTTCATTGAAAATGGATCATAAATTTAAATTTAAAATATAAAACTATAAAAAGAGGAAAGTGAAGTCTGGCAAGAGGACTTGGTCTGCCAAAGGTCATCCAGTGACTCAAAGATTTCAGTTTGTTTTCATAAATTATTACTCACCATTTTAACAAATCCCATTTGCCCTGATAATTCAGAGTAAATGGTTTCCACTATATTAACTGGGTATTTGTTCATGCTTTTTTGGTTTTTTAATATCTTCTTCATGCTACTTTAATTATTCATTCATTCAACATTTACTGGGCGACTAAATGTGCCAGGCTTTCCCTAGGATTACAAAGATGTAAAATACTGTTCATATCTCAAGAGATTTATGGTCCAATGGGGGAGAAATTCGATTATCACCCTAATTAGATTAAGCACTTCTTTAAGAGCAAGCGCCATATTTCTTTTTCCGTTTTCATCAGCCAAGTACATGATGTACTGTGCACACCCCGTCCAGTGCTCTGCACACTTGAACACATTTTGGTGATTGGCTAATCTTGAGTTTCAAGACACTCTCTACCCTGTAACTAACTGTTTGGGGAGCTAAAGTCCACAGAGATTAAATGGCAAATCCTGAATAAAGTGAAAGAAGAGTTTAGGTCATTTGTGGAGACTCATCCCCACCTCTCGGTCTGTGCCAAGCATTGATTCTGGCAGAACACCTCAATGGCTGGAGGAAACCTGACTCCCTGCAATACACAGCCCTGGTCGACCTGACCAGCCCGCCTGGCAGCTAATGACCACAGCTGCTTCCTCTCCAAGACTGATTCCTTCCCTTCCGCCAATCTTAATTTAAAAGCTACCTAGATAATGGGAATGTGGGTGTTCCAGGTAAATTTTCTCCACTTTCCCCACCGCCCCTGGTATACGTGAAATTTTTCATCGTCAAACGTTGAGGGGTAAATGTTACCTAGAAGCTTCTCCTCTTTTCTCCTCAGCCCCGGAGCCTCTCCTCACAGTATTTCGCACCTCGGCGATATACTTTCAAATCAAATGTAAACTGTCAAGTAAAAAGAAACAAAAAAGTTAACATTAGAATAGGGAACTAACAATCTTCAAAAGCATTCCTTTTCTCCGCAGGCCTCGCGTCTGGCCAGCCCTCACCTCAGCTGTCGACCGGGATTCAACGGCTTTTTCCGGTTCAAACCCGCCTCTCGCGCTCGAGAATAATCGACGAGATCTTCTTTGGCGGGATGAAACGCTTCATGAATAATTCATTACCTCTCACAGCGTGCTCCGGCGTCCATCCGCTCCCCGTCTATGAATATGCAAAGCAGGGGCGAGCAGCGGCTAATAGGCCCCTGGCAGGCCCGGCCCCCTCAGCACAGGGACTGTGTTCCCCGGCCGGCGCCTGTTCACAGTTCACTTTCCCTCGCGCCGGCGCTGCTTCTCCCCTGCCTTGTTTCCAGCCCTTCCGAGGGCTCGTCCGGCGCCCCCGGGTGTGAGGGACCCGCGCCGAGAACGCTGCGCCCCGGGGAACCGGGGGTGCGGGGCTGCACAAGCACCCGTCGGTGCCTTCTATTTGGGCAACCCGTGTGTCGAGGACATCCTGCCCCGGGGCTTCCTGAGGAGGCGCCTCCCCTCCAAGGTGAGGAGGCGGTGGCGAGGCCCTCGCGGGCAGGGAGGGGTCTGCGTTAGAGGCTGAGAAACCCTGGGGTTAATGGAGTCCAAGACCCGGGGCCACGGGTCCCAGAGAGGCCTGAGGCCAGCGCGGGTCGGCGTGGGGGAGGGGAAGCTAGAGCCTGGAAAGGCCAGCAACGCGGAAGCCGGATTCAAAAGTCCAGACAACAGAAGTTTCAGTTCTTGAGAGCATTTCCACTTCTTTCCTATGCGTGGACCCGACAATGGATTGTTTTTAACACTAATTTGTAATTATGCAAATAAAACAGGAATACGTTCTCCCTACATTGCCCCTAATCCTGGTCCCTTCCGCAGAAGGTACCCCCAGTGACCAGTTGGGTGTGACTCTCCTCAGATGTGTTTTAATATGTTCAGATGTAAACTTAGTACCTACTGTGGAGCTTTTCTAAGGTTCGTGGAGTACCTTGAACCTCTGCCATGGGATTTCCCCTAAGGGAGTGTATGAAGCAGTGGGCCACTTGAAATCTGTTTTTAACTTTGTTTCTGCAACTAAAGGGAAGAAAGATTAAAGTTGGTAAAAACATGAGTTTATAATGTAATGACGAAACCCAAAATTTGGCCTGTAATATTCCTTTAGTGCAGGATTTCTCAACCTCAGCAGTAATACACTTCCACCACCCCCAACCCCTTTCCCAAATCGCGACAACCCAAAACGTCTCCAGACATTATCAAACGCTCTTAGTAAAGAACTAGTGCTTTAATCCTATACTTCCCAGAATTAAGTGCTCTTTAAGCTCCAACCACACAGATGGTCTCTCTCTCTCTCTCTCTTTCTCTCTCTCTCCCCTTCCCTCTGGCTAAATCACTAGCCCACAATGCTGGCCATCTTCTCATCAGCCTTTAGGTCTTAGCTCAGTCAGCTACCACCAACTCCAAAGAGCCTTCCTGCTCTGCCCTTTGCTATATGCCTTCCACCCAACATCTACCCCCCAAAACAGTTACTCTCTCATTATTACTATTTCCTTCATAGAACTTATCATAATCTGGGTTTTATTTTTTATTTATTTGTTAGCCTGTTTTTGTCTCTCCATCTCCTAAAATGTAAGCTTCATTAGAGGCCTGGTCTGTCAGGGTTACCCCAGGATCCCCAGTGCCCAGCACAGTGCCTGGTACACAGTGATCACTCAATAAACATTGATAGACTGAAACAATAAATTACCCTCTCTTCCTCCTAAGAGCTATGGAATTTCTTCTACTCCTTTTTATCCTCATTCCCTGCTAGTTTCCTTGTAACCTTGGTTTAGAACTTGAATGGATGAATGAACACCTGTTTTAGGAGCTGTGGGTAAAGTCTTCACTTTTCCCACTGACATATCAACTCCTTGATGATACTTTCTTTATTATGTTCATCGAAGATATTCAAATAGGTGAATGAACTAATCCATGACTTAAGGAATATTAGACAATTAAAAATTGATAGTTACAGGGGGGTTTAGAAATCAAGGTCTAGTCTCTTACTTTACAGATTAGTGTTTAAGTAATTTGCTCAATGTCACTGAGCTTGTTAAGAGACATCAAGTCGCCAGCTGGTGTGGCTCAGTGGTTGAGCATCAACCCATGCACCAAGAGGTCGCCAGTTTGATTCCCAGTCAGGGCACATGCCCACGTTGTGGGCCCGATCCCCAGTGGGGGGCATGCAGGAGGCAGCCAATCAATGTTCTCTCTCATCTATGTGTTGTTTTTTTTCCATTTTTTGCACAGATAAAGTGGGAGGGAGGGAGAAAGAGAGAGAGAGAGAGAGAGAGAGAGAGAGAGAGAGAGACATCGACGTGAAAGGGACACATCAAGTGGCCGCCACCCGCACGACCAACCAGGGCCGGGGACAAACTGCAACCGAGGTACATGCCCTTAGCGGGAACCGAACCCGGGTCTCTCCGGACCGCAGGCCGATGCTCTAACCGTTGAGCCAAACCGGCCAAGGCTCATCGATGTTTTTATCTCTCTCTCCCTCTCCCTTCCTCTGTAAAAATCAATAAAGAAAAAAAAAATTTTTTTTTAAAGAGACATCAAGTTACAAGTACAGCCCATGTTAACACCTCTCATTTCAAGGCTCTTTCTTGTCTCCAGCCAGTTTAATTTCTGATTACTTTTCTGAGAACCTGACTTATAACTCAAACACAAAAATCCCAGGCCAAAGACTTTCTTCCTTTCACCTAAAAAAAGCTTTTGAGCTTGTACTCTTCACCATTTTTTTTTTTTTTTTTTTTATCCTCAACCGAGGATATTTTTTCATTTTTTGTACAGATAGAGTGGGAGGGAGAGAGAGGAAGGGAGAGAGAGAGAGAGAGAGAAACATCGACGTGAAGGGACACATCGAGTGGCTGCCACCCGCACGACCAACCAGGGCTGGGGACAAACTGCAACCGAAGTACGTGCCCTTAGCGGGAACCGAACCCGGGTTTCTCCGGACCGCAGGCCAACGCTCTAACTGCTGGGCCAAACTGGCCAGGGCTTTTTTTTTTTTTTAATACTCATCCAAGGACATGGTCTTTGATTTTTAGAGAGAGAAACATCAATGTGAAAGAGAAACATTGATCGGTTGCCTCCTGCACACACCCCTACCTGGGCCGGGGATCAAACCCGAAATCTAGGTATGTGCCCTGACCTTGACTCGAACCTTTGACCCTTTGGTTTACGGATGATACTCCAATGAACTGAACCACACTGGCCAGGGCTATACTCTTCATCCTTTGATTAAATCCAGACCTAGGGATAATGACCTAATGAACTCAAAAGTACTATATAATATTCAGACAATTTCCCAACTTCTTTTGTACCATTCAATGATAAGAGATTGGAAATTATCCCTGTCAAAGCAAAGTATCTTGTTTGTTTTGGAAAGAAAAAAAATGTACATTGTGGTAGAAATTGATCATTGTTTAGAAATTTCCAAATAACCAGTTGTTAAAGTTTTGCCAAACCCTGTAAAAAGGTGAAACAGATGAAAATAGAGGGAGAACATACCTTATTTGAGATGACTTTCATTGCCTAAAGTTAACCTTTTCTCCTTAGACACGTTTCATTCTACTCTGTACCTGAAACAGTTGTCACTCCTCATTAATCATCTCTAGTTAGACTTTGGTTTTTGAGAACTAAACACCATTTTTCCTTCTCACTTAAAGAAATTCAGGTTTCTTCTTTCCTATTCTTGATCATTTTATATTGGCAATACCATATTAGTAGAGTCTTGTGGAGTCATGCTGTCAGCTTTCAGAATCTTAGAGTTTCTTCTGGAACATCTGACAGCACAGTGTGCCATAGGAAGTTGAGATATCATTTGTCTGACTGATTAAAATTCTCTCCATCAGGTTTGGTTTAACCTTGGGAATCTTTTCTAAGAGGTGGTTTACTTGAGGGTTATCGAAATAGACATACTGAATATAAAATGTATTCCCAGAAGGACATCTCTAGAAGCATCTCGATCTTCAATGTATACAATGATGTCAAATACAGAGAATAGAGATTGGGGTGGAGGGAGCAGCTAAGTAGAAAGTGTGGTTTATTTATCCTATTTGCATTCAACTTTTATTGGAACTTTTAAAATCATCATAACTTCCAGTCATCATAAAGTTGACACTACCATATTTATTCATTCATCAAGCATTTATTTTGCACCTACAAATATAAAGCACTCTGATTGGCATTGAAAGGACCAGGGAGATAATGACTTGGTCACCAAGTTGTGGAAGTTTACAGTTTAATAAGAAAAGGAAACATTATGAACACATTACTCACATAGAAAATAGTTTGCAAATATTAATGGAGGTATAAATTATATGCTAGAGTATAGAGAAGGAAGCTATGCATTTTAAATAGGGAATCAAGACAGCTTCACAAAGGAGTTGGCATTTTAAGAGGACAGCGTGTATATATCATTTCCTTTGCTCATTCTTTGGCAATGGTTAGACTACTTCAAAACAATAAAAGCAGACATTTGCCCACCACTTTAGAACTAGGAAAGAAAAGGAGGTATAAGACTCTTTCTTTTTACTCCTGGAAGCAACATGCTTCTGAAAGCTAAATGTTGCCTTGCAATCCCAAATCCCAGGTGCCTCGGTCATGGTTAAGAGGAGAGCTGAAGCCCTGGCGGGTTTGGTTAGAGCGTTGGCCTGCAGTCCAGAGAGACCCGGGTTCGGTTCCCACTAAGGGCACGTACTTCAGTTGCAGTTTGTCCCTGGCCCTGGTTGGGTTGTGCGGGTGGCAACCACTCCACGTGTCCCTTTCACGTCGATGTCTCTCTCTCTCTCTCCCTCCCACTCTATCTGAACAAAAATATGGAGGGGGAAAAAAAAAAAAGAGGAGAGCTGAAAAGAGAGAGTACCGGTTCATCTTTGACTTCTTCACTGAGGTTAAGTCAAA